TATGAACTCTACTCCCAATGTGGGGCTTGAACTCATGACCCTGAAATCAAGAGTCTCATGCTCTACTGAGCTAGCCAGGTGCCCCTTGTTTTAATAGCTATCCTTATGGGTATGGAGTTGTCTCATTATGATTTTGTTTGCATTTTCCTGGTGGTTAGTGATCTTGAGCATCTTTTCATGTGCTTATTGGCCATCTGTATGTATCTTCTCTACAGAAATGCCTACTCCAGTCCTTTACTCATTTTTTAATTGGTTGTTCTTTTGCTGTTGAGCTGTAGGAGTTCCTTACATATTCTGAATATTGATTTCTTGTTGACATATTTGCAAATATTTTCTCCCATACTGAGGGCTGTGTTTTCACTCTGAATAATGTCCTCTGATGTACAAGATTTTAGTTTCAGAATTTTTTTAACGTTTTGTTTTTAATGAAATCCAATTTATCTTTTCTTTTGTTGCCTGTGCTTTTGACAAATCCCAGAAATCACTGCCACGTCAAATTATGAAATTTTCCTCATTTTCTTCTAAGTGTTTGATATTTTTAGCTTTCAATGTTTAGGTCTTAGATCAATATTAATTTTTGTATACGGCATAGGGTAAGGGTCTGATTTCATTCTCTTGCATGTGGATATGCAAGTTTTGCAACATTTATCGAAAAGACTGCCCTTTTCTCATTGACTGGCCTTGGCACTCTTGTCCAAAAATCACTTGATCAATACATGTGAAGGTTTACTTCTGGGCTCTCTGTTTTCCCTCATTGGTCTGTATGTCTATCTTCATGCCATTACCACACTGCTTTAATTTCTGTGGCTTTTGGGTATAGGTTTCTTTTTTATTTTTGAAATGTACAACACATCCTTTTTGGCTCGTGATCCGTTCTTTAATCCCCAAGTGTTGCCTAGAGACTGGCACTTTTTGTAGTACCCAAATTTAGCCAAGGACCCAGGGATAATTGTGCAATCGGGTGCAAGAAAAGGAGCAACAGGTGGGTCATTCAACATGGCATCTGATTTCTTTGGAAAAGAGAAGGCACAGTCGCTAGAGTAAAACTGTACGCCTTTATTCAACTTAAATGAGTATTTAAGATAAAATACAATTTGCCCATGTGCAGAAACATTGTACATTCAATTGAGAAAGGTAGTTTTATACAACCAATAAAAGGAACGGTCTAAAAGTGAGAGGAATAAAGACGATAGTGAGAGGGGAGCTAAAAGGCAGAGTTTTATCTGTCAAAGTGCTAAGGCCTATGTGCACAAAGATTAAGTGAACAAGACCAACATAAGGTCATTTCTTCCATTCTGATTTCTCTTGGTGCTGGTGAAAAAGTTTTAAGGTGTGATGCAATGAGTCACAGGATTAAGACGGGTTTAAAAAAAAAATAGGTCATAGCACTTATGGCTGAGAAAGGTTTATTTCCAGAGTTTCATTAGTCATGTACTCGAGATCTTTCATGGATTCTATGAATTTCACGAATTCAGTAAGAGCCTGCCCTTCAATCAGTAGTCTATTATCAAGGAACAAACGGTTAGGTCCTTCCCAGCCCAGAATCCATCTCCTTATGCAACAACAGAGGAGAAACCAAATATGAGACTCTGGAAAAGTTTCATTACTTTAAAGTTTGTGTTAAGTGATTACATATACGTTCAGCTGGGGTTACCACCCAGGTCTTCAAATTGCTATTGCCCAAAAACCTAAAATGAGAATTGCTAACCTCGGGCCAAAGTCCAACTCCATCATTTCCAAGCTCTAGGTATCTGGAAACATCAGATATTGGTTTTTGGAAAGAAAGTAATAAAGTAAAAGTTTTTGTACCACACTTTCCATAGAAAGGGAACAGGCTGTGTGTAAAATAATAGTTCTAAGGTATCTTCAAGTATTTTGATAACATTTAATGCACTGCTTTCTTATTGGGCTAATTTAAATTTTAAATATTTAGAAAGAGAACCCACGATTAAAGTTAATAAAATTGTTGACTCAAGTTGGCAAAATAGTGTTTATGAGCAACAGCGGCATTATTTAACAGACACAGGTGCACAACACTAAATCCTGAGCAGCAGCAAAAGCTGCCACTGGATAACTCAATAGAAAACCATCACCTTGCCCATAAAATGTCTCAAATCAAATTTCACATTCTAATCATGGCAATTTAACATTATGTGAACTCAAAACCTTAAAAAAAAAAAAAACTCCATAAAAGGGTAAGTTAAGAATAATTCAGTTTACTTAAACCCATTTTAAATCCAATCTTGGGTTTACCTTTTTTCTCCCCCAGGCATTCTGTGGGTTTTGCAGTCAAGATGGAAATCGGTGGGTTTTTTTTATTTCCCTTTAGCCTCCTTTTGAGTTTGAAGAACCAGGAATAGAGTTGGAAGTTATTCTTCAGGAGAACACACTATCTTGTCACAGCCCATTTCTATGGCCTGATCATCTCTGGCTCTCCCTTCCAGGCTCAATCCCTCCTTCCTGTCTTTCTTAGGGAAGTCTTTCTTATAGAGATAGTCTTTACTGATTAAGAGTGAAAGTTCCACGGAGGTATAGAGATTCCTCAGTTTATACATCTCTGTAAAAGAAACTCAGTTTTCTAAGGTCACCAAGTATTAGGAAAATACAGGATACCCACCCTCCTACTTCCTGGGCAAAGTTGGGACATTTCATGGTGGAATACACCAAATACCTCTTTTAAAGGTGGATATGGATATTTTCGCATGCAGAACTTGAGTTGCAAATCCAACAATCCAAGTTAATGATAAATGATAAGGAAAATTCAAGAATAAGCACTCACAAAATACAATGATTTATCTTTAAAAAAAATTTTTTTTAACCAGAAAAATCTTAAAGTAAAAATTGGGAATTTAGGCCACTAAAAAGGACTAAGGTACTGCTGAAGTTTCTTGTAGTTAAAAATTCTGTGACTTCATAATGGGGGATAGGGGAGCCAATTCTACTGTACTAGAATAAAAACTTTAGAACACCAGTTTTATCCATTATGGAGAAAAAACAGGGATATAACATCTCTTCCTTCTCACCAGACTACAAAATGAAAATCAAGGTTTAGTTTTAATTCCCTTTAGCTTCCTTTCGGTTTGAACATTAGGGAAAGGCAGGCTACATTATTTACCTAAAAGTTATTGGAAAGGGTTAGTTAAGATTATAGCATCTTTCTGGGCGCACTGACCAGAATTAATTGAACGGGATTCTCTCTTCAACTGAGATGTTACTAAGAAATTTAAGTTTCTATTAAGAATTCTACATCTTCTTCACTTCCATGTTATTTCACCTAGGGGCAATGCCTTTCCTTTCTCTCTTCATGTTTTGCCATGGTTTCAAACAGTGCCTCAAACACGTCCCTTCCATAACTCATTTACACTTAAATTTCCATCGTGTCTTGGGAAATATGTGGTATCTATTACTCCTTGAGCCCTGAACTAGACATGTGCTGTATGGCTACTGATGTTAGGAAGACCTTTTGCAATTTACCTGGTTGCTTTTGTTTACCTTATAAAACCTGAACCTCATCACAGTGCCTAGCACATAGTAGGTGCTCCGAGAAATATGTGAATCAATGAATAACATGATTTGTACACAAAACCAGCTAGACACATTATGCAAAATCTTATTTCTTAAGACCGTTTGTGGTCAAGTAGTGTCAAAAGCATTGAACACAGGTTTCTAGACTGTGATGTAAATAAAGAATGGACAATTGGAGATTCAAGTTGAAGTTGTGTTCTAGTATATTGCTCTTTCTCATTCAACTGCACATCAACTACACATTTAGGCTCCTATGTCATTAACCTGAACATGAAATTTTACTTCCGGTGAGGTAGGAGGCCCATTTAAATAATTATAAATATGTATTAGAAACGGTGTGTGTGTGTGTGTGTGTGTGTGTGTCTGTCTGTAAATGGCCATAATGGACTGGTTCACAAACATTTAAATATTTCACTTTCACTTCTATTATATATGGTAATTATAAGAATGCAGATGTTCCCTGAGACATACGAAAATTTAAAAGCATATTTTAAGCAAAGATTTAGAATGCTGTTCTCTTGGAGTGGTAAATGATCTTCAATGTCTTTGGGCAACCCCAATGTTTGAAATTTCAATTTTTGAAAGATAAGAAGGCAATCTTTTAAAAAAAAGCATTCTATAAATCCATATTAATTTCCAAAATATGCTACTTTTATCAGTGAAATAATCACAGCTGAGGAATTATGGGGAGAACTAGGACCCTAGAAGAGTCAGTTTCATGGGTCACTAAGATACATTCGTGGAGTTCTGACCTTATTTTTTATTTCATCAATAAATCTATAAATTATTCATTTTTAAAGAATAGACTAGATATCTATTTCCAAAGACTATCTAGGTATCATTTTGCTCCGTCAATCATATCCTAAAACCAAGTATTTGCAACCACAAAATTCTCTTGAACAGCAGGATTCCAGGCTATCTGTAGGTATAGGATATAGACTGGCAGTTAAGCTCTCCTAATATCTGGCTGAGTCCTCATTTGCATAAATGCCCTTCCTGACACAGGGGAGATCAAAATCCAAGCTCTCCTAGCTCTTCTAGCTCTCCAGATCAATTAGGAAGGACCTAAAACTGGTTTTGAAACTCCCTCACCAGATCAATCAGGAAGGATACAGAACCAGTTAGGAAACTTACTTCTCAGAAAAGAACTGGTAAAGAGAAAACAAGTTTTCGATTATATTCATGGGATTATTTCTTCACATACTCCTATCGTTTAGAAGGTTGTGGCAGTGAATGTTTGCTAATGAATTATTAACCACAGTTGAGAAAGAAAAACCTATTTTTACCCCTGAGATATTTTCTTACCATTCTTTGTTTTAGAAGCAAACAGTGGGCACATTAAAAAAATAAAATTAAAAAAAGAAAAAAGGAATGCACCATGTTTTTGTGTTTGTCTGTTTTTCAACGTTCCCAGTAACATCCCATGGTTAAGAGACCCAACAGTTCAAGGGTGAAAGCAGAGACAGACAGATTAGGCAAGTTTAATATTTTTACTAGAGTTCTGAAAGAAATATGCTACCCTGATTTATTTATCACCAAATTTCTCATTTTACCCTTCTATACAATCTGTTGTAATCTTCCAATGGTAATATAAGGCAACAGCTGAGGGCCCTTACCCACACCGCTCTCAGATGGATGTCAGACCTCAAGATTCACCAAAAAGTCCAAGGTTTTTATTTTCACTTTAATTATCTTTTACTTAATAATAAAATGAAAAATAAGAATATATGAATACATACAATCTATATACATATATTTATTGCAAATACTTAAAATTCTTATGTAAAATGATTTTTCTATATTTGTGAAAAAATATGACTTTTTAAATGGTGTTGACACCAACTTCTCTGTACATACCCTCAATTCCAATGTTAACAATTCCTTTAAAAAGGCAAAAAGACACAAAAGTTTAGCATTTACCAAACCAGTCTGTACAAACCTTGTAAGCCAGAAGGAAAAAAAATAGCTTGTGGTAAATAAGTTGATATTCTTTTAAAATAAAAAATAAACTTCAAAACTATTCCCCTTATTGCATTTTCTGGAAATAATCTGAGTGTCTTTAGAGTAACTTCCTTTGTAACAATTTGTGCCTTAACAGTGAGGTCCTACGTTAAACATACCATATATGAGAAATTCAAAGTCTTCCACTGTCACTTTTTACATAGATATTAAAATATATATTACTTAAAATATATTACTGGAAAGCTATTTTTAAAATTGATCTTTAATAGTTGTATCAAATGTAAAGCATTAAAAAAAATAAAGTAACCAAGAATCTATGAAGCTCTCACTTCAACTTTAGGAAATGTTTTACCTACTGTTCCCTTTCAATAGGTATGTAGGTATTGAAACATGGGAGGAAAGATCCCTGCCTATCATCATGTTTCTCAGAGTCTCTTTGGACTATTCTATAAATTGAGCTGAAAACTACCGTCGGCCAAGTTTTTTGCTTAGCAAGTTGTGGTAATGCAACAGGGACTTTTCCCTCTTTGCTGGGAAGTGAAACCTCTAGGTCAAAGAGAAAAACCCTGGCACTACTCACTGACAGTGAGTTCTAGAAATAAATAGTGGTGTAATGACCAGAGAAGACTCCATCGTTATAACAAATCATTTCACCCAAGAGCTCGGTAAGGGCTCTAAGGTGGAGAAAGGCAATAATAAGCAATTAGGATGGTAACTGTCAAGTCAGCAATATGTATGAATTTACACCTTCACCAGGAAGGCAATGAGGTCTTCCTTTGGCTATTTATCTAAATCTGAGATAATTCCTAAAACACCTACATCTGGGTGCCTTCCCAGCCCACGCAAGTACGCTTCCCCTACTCCTAACAAAAATGTCCCATTTGCCAGATCTTACTTAAAATGTTACATGGGTTACCACAGATAGTTTCAGTATCTTGAGCACAGGGGTTAAGGAAGAGTAGGGCAATCAACTCCAGGTCATTTGGCTTTATCTTCTGCTTAATAGGATGGAGAATTTTAATCAAAATTTTTTCTTAAGATTCAGGGAGCCTTCTCTACTAGACAACTCAGAACATTCATTAAGTAAGACTGAGATGACATATTTATTGTTAATGCTATCTCCCCAAGGTGACCTACAATGGAAGGTACCTGAAGGCTCGAGAGACATCCCCTGGAGGCATAAATATCAGGCACAATGCCTGACTAGTCACTGGAAATAGTGCAACTAAATACCATTAAAAAAAAAACAAAACTTAGCATTTATTAGCAACCTTTTAGATTGAACCGAAAGGTAAAGCAACTCTGAAAACCTAAGATAAAAACTGCTTTCATGGTTCTGGAGTACCATGCTCTCAATAATATAAAGATTTTCCTTGTTCCTACTGCTTCATTTTCAAAAGGCCAGACTGGAATGTGTTTGGATTGTTGCTGTTGTTTTTCTGTTCAGCTCTTAAAATGAATGACTTTCTATCTGAAAACACTGTTTTGAAGCAAACTAACGGACTGTATTCAATTTACTACCAACCTGAGAGAACCTATTCTCTCGTTTTGTCGAGATTGAGGCAGTGTACCTAGTTGACCAATTCTGTTTTAGGGACAATCATAAATGCCAATATTTTATTAGCTGAGTATTGCTTGTTAAGAGAATCTGGGGAATAATAATGCTTAGGGACCTATCTGCAAGAGCCTGGTCAAGATGAAGAGGCACGATACGGTTTGCTCTCCAAGTGGACTTAAAAATCCCTGATAACCATTCCACCTTTCCTGGTTTACCTGTTCAACCTCAGATTAGGGGAACCATGGAGGAGAGACTCTTCTAGGACAGGAAAGGTGCAAAGAAGAAAATTCACTTTGATTAAGCCAAATTGGTAACTAATGTTTTCGCACAGGGTCAGTTCCGAACTACTCAGGCACTTCAGCATGCAGACCAGCCCTGGGTCCTGGCCCTGATGCAGAGAGTGAAGCTGAGCATGGAGAGTTTTAACCAGCAATAGGTCCTTCCAGCCCCTGCCCTTGGACTACCCAGAGTACTCGAAGTTTGGGGAACTGAACCATGTTTGTTTCCTCCTGGATCCTGGCTTGAGAATATTCCTTATCCCTGGATCCATACAGCCTTCGTTATGTTTTAGCTATGTGTGCGCAGGAAGGAAAAGGAAAGTTAGAACATCCTATTGTCTTGGCTGAAACTAGAACACAGATATTAATCCTATATTTGCCTTAAGCCATAAAAAATAACAGAAGCCAAAACTGAAAAACAGTGAAGCAGTAAGTTTCTTATGGGATTCAAAAGTATTAAAAGTGTGTATAATGTGGAGGAGGGTGAGGAAGAATGGGTAACAGAATAGGGAAGAGCAAAGAGTAATTATTGTCTACTTTCTCCTAATCTGGAATGTGACTTAATAAGTTTACACTGTTCTGCATATGGTAAATATCACATCCTGAATACTAAGTACAACTACAGGTGTACTAGGTTGTGGTAATATTTTTACTTTACACACTTGAAATTAGGAAACTTAAGATCAATATGCAAATGATGCACATTGACAATACCCAATTCTTTAATACCAAATTCTGGTAAATTGTAGATTTATTTTAATGTCCTTTAACCATGACCTAAGTATATGTACTCAAAAACTCTTCAGTCACTAGGGACAAGATTTAAAAAACAACAACAAAGGAAACAAAAGAGAGTCAGCAAAAATAAGCAACAAAACTTTGGAAATAATTAATCTTCCTTTCTAGATGTTCCCTTAGTCATTTACTTAAGTCCCTTTACATTAGAAATTTCTAGGGCATAGACAGCAATCATCCAAAACAGAGGACATATTTTCTAAATATGTTTCTAAAACAGGAGAAGCGTCTTTTACTGTGTGTGTCCATGTGTGCACGCACACATCGTGTTCAAAGTAATATTAATAAGATTACTCTATACTCCTCAGATGCCTGGGGAGGTCAAAACAGGCTTAACAGAACAGGCAAGTGTGGCAACAAGGATCTTTTCCTCCTGCACAACAGCAGACTACAGAACATTAGGGAACACAGTTGGGCAAGAAGAAGAAAAGAGAGGCTACCTTGTTTCTAGTGTTAAAATCATTTTCCAAAGTTCTTTATGTTCAGTTTAATAGTTTCTGCACTTTTTATTCCCTTGCCCAACAAAACACATAGTTCAAATCACCCGTTACTAACTTTTTTTGTTACTGCCATACTAGTATTTCACACCTGTTGGTAAGCTCCCATGACTGCCGAGGTGCCCGGGTTACTGCTGGAACTGTGGCCCCGCATAGACTATGCTAACAGCAGGGGCCCAGGGCAGCACCCCCCTCTTGGGCCATGCTCACCATCTCAGGGCAGGGCAGGGGGTCTGGAGGGCACGTGTCCACAAACCGCAAGCAGAGAGCTTGGCAGCAGTACTGGTTTGTGGAAGCAAAGGACCAGGTCATGAGCTTTCAGAGTCTGAATTTACCACCTGGGAAATGGATACCTTATCAACAATTTGAACTTAAGAAGGTTCTGTCTAAGGTAAAGGGACTGAGTAAACCCTGAATCTAAATCCCGCAAAAGCGGAATAATCTACGTAAAGCCTGCAGTCAGACTGTCATGACATAATCAGCTTGAACGGTCATTTCTCCGGACCGTTCCTTCCCTCCTTCCTTTTCCTAGTCTCTTAAGAAAGGAGAGAAAAAGAGAAACAGCTTCCTTTTAACCATGCATGGCATTAAACTTTTCTCAGAGTCATGGTGAAGTGAAACATAAATCTGAATTCAAAGTAATACATTATTACCTAAACACTTGGGAAAACAACGTTAAAACAAAATGTGACATATTTACATGATTTTTTAAGTGCAAACTTGTCACAAATTCACAAAGTCTTGCTTGACCTAGACTTACTATACAAGGTGCTCTTCCTCTAAAATGTAAGATCTGTACTCTGTATTCCTGATTAAGTAACATTTGCCTCTTAAGACAACTGAAACCTACTTATTTATTTCTGTGATTCCCAAAAGGACGCAAAAAACCTTATCTCATCAACCCTTCCCTCCCTGCCTCCCTTACAATGTGTTCTCTCTCTAGCTGCATTACCGAACGACAAGGCAGGAAACGCAGAGTTTGGAGGGGCCAATGCAATCATCATGGCAGAATGCTCCACACCCCTTGCACATGATCATGGCTTTCAAGCGGCAGTAACATTTCGAAGGTGTGTCCTCTATGCTGTTCTCTTCAGGAAAGGCCTGAACGGGAATGGTCTGGCCGTGGCTGCTGGGATTCATAGCCTGGCTAGCGGGGATAGTAGTGACAGTCACCGAAAAGGACATGACGTCACCTACGTTGCTAGACACCTGGCTGCCATCAGGCATCCCTGGGACAGCAGAGTTGTGGTCCATGTCAGACGAGGTGGAGACATTGATCATGCCTCTGTAGCTCGGCCCGATCTGGGTGGGGCTTCCATACAGCTTGGGGGTCTGCAGGGGTGGAAGCAGGAGCGGCTGATGGGTGGGACTGTCTGCAGTCAGAGGGAGACTGGTAGAATGGAAAAGCTCAGGGCTGGTTCGCATCGTCTTCCCTCTCACTGCATGAGCCATCTGTTTCTGTGCCACCTGAAGGAAATCTCTGGCTAGGGTCTTCTCATCCAATATTTGGCCTCTACTGAACAGGTAATTCTCCTTGCTTAAAGTGGTTTGCTCATGCGCTGGTGTCTCCGCCTTCACATTCTTTTTTGCTAAACAATCATTGGTGGACAGAGTTTCTCTACTGTGGGGTCCCGAACTTGCTTCACACTTGCCAGAGCCCTGAGTAGCCTGGGGCTCCTCCTTCACCATGACAGATTCTTGCTCATCACCAGTACTTTCCTCATCAGTATCTTCTTCTTTGCCGCTACTACTATCACCTGTTGCATTTTTACAGTCAGTATATCCCATTTTCAAGGCCTCCGTTGGGCTATTTAGACACAAACGGTCTTCAAGGTTTACGGAATGGGTCCTCCTAAAGCTCTCTGAACCCCGGCCATAGGTGGAAATGTTTAGTAAGTAGTGACCTGCCATTGCAGGTTTCGATGTCCTTCTGCCAGCAAAACCCAGCATGAACCTCTGGCTTGTGGAGATATCTTCTAACTGGAAACCTGAGTGAGTGAAGTTGAACTGGGAGGGCTGCACAAACGAGAGAACGTTCTGCCTCCGAACCCTCTGTATGAGAGTCTGAAGGATCTGATCCTGGGTGGCCTTGCCAAGCCCCTCCTGGTACTGGTGTGTGTCAATGCCTGAGTCCCTCAGTTCCTTACCTGAAAAGAGCTGAAGGGGCCTGGGAACCTGGGGGAGCTGCTTACTGTGCAAGGCTTTACCCAGCTGCTGCAGAGCCGGGTGGGGCTGCCTCTCACTACCTTCCTCTCTGCTGCTGTTTTCTGCCACCTGGGTGCCTGGGAGCGCTCCTACCCCCGGCTCCTCTTTTGTAGTCAGTGGAACAGTTTTCATTTCAACTTTGGTGAGAGGTTTAGGCAGAATTTGCTCCATGGGAACATCTTTGCCCTGAAGCAGCTGAGTGACTAAAGGATTATTTGCAGGGATACTGGAGCTTGGCCTTGAAATGGGTCCGTTCATATTTGAAGGAGTTCCTGGAGTTTTAAGGCTAGAAGCTACTGGCAAAGTGCTCGAGGATGTAGCTAATCCCGTAGGTACTACAGTTACACTAACCTGGGGTACAGGAAGCTTTTCTAAAGTGGCTGTTGTTAATAAAGATGTTAAAGGAGAGGGAGTCATATCCGCTGAAGTACTAGCAGCTGTCTCCGCTGAGGCTGAAAGATCTGGTATATTCTTACTAGAACCTGCTCGGGACTCAACCGTGCCATCAGCTGCAAAACAAACAGGTGAGGCACCGGAGATTAGGGCAGAATCTGTTGGAGTAGAAGGCGCTTTCTCCTGTCTGCAGTTACTGGGGCCTTGTGGGTGGGTCAGAGAGGCCACTGTGGCTGTTGCCCTGGTGGGATTCAGTTGTTCACTATTCGGTTTCCCTACAGCTGGTGGGGGTGCATTAGTGTGGGCTGCTGATGGGACACCTGTGCGTGCTCCACCGACGGCAGAGGTTGGAGGCACTGAGGAGGTTTGCTGTAGTTGTGCTCCAGAGACACCAGGAGGCTGTGCCTGGTCTGGGGTCTTGGCCTCAGACTGGGGCTGAGTCTCTGGACCACAGGGTAAAAGCTCTCTCGTACCTCCCCTGCTTCCAGTTCCTGCCAATTCCAGTGTGGGGCCCTTTCCAGGTGCGTCACCTCTGTCTGAGTCTGGACATCCCCCTCTAGCAGTTTTCCTGTCACCACCCTCTCCTGGACCTTGTCCACCCCCTGGGCCAGGTCCTGGAATGGTCCCTCCAACGGAGGTGGCTGCGGCGGCGGCAGCGGCGGCGGCGGCTGCTGCTGCCCTCTGTGCTTTGACCAGCTGGGCTTTTGCTTTGATGTCTGCAAGAGTCCTGGCTCCTGTTCTGTTAGGACTAGTGATGGAGACTGGAAAACGAGCCCTGGGAGAGACCTGCGATGTAGGAAAAGGCATGGGGGAGATCCTGGAGACCGGGATCTGAAAGAAGGAGGGAGAAAAAAAACCCCAGAGTTTAGTTTTCATTTACAGGAATACTGGAACTTCACGAACACCTGAATTTCTGCAGTAAACACTGCACACCAGGGACAAAGATGGGAAGTCCACGGCCGAGTGACCAAACCAAGGAGACAGCAACTTGACTTCATCTATAGGGTTCTTTCCATGTTCTCTACTGGTGCCAAAACCTCTCCTCCCCTGACATCTTTTCCACCCCATGCTTCTTTTCTCAACACAACTCCCTCCTAAGGGCATTACTACTCACAACTGCTTATTACCTAAGATACACACCTTGCTATGGTATTTGCACTTTCGAATGTGTGTGTGAGAGAGACGAAGCATACCACTATCTTTTTCTTCGTAGCTCTCCATTCAAGATCCAAGGAAAACTCTTGCTCTCTTCTGCTCTACACACATACACGCATGCACATTTCAGCATACAGGCTGAATCATTTCAATGACACAGGCTTCTAGATAGCACTGGAAGGCACACAGTGATCCATGCATGTACCCTACTCTGTCCATCCACGTGAGTGAGTATGTACATAATGTATACCACAGTTATTCTCATCCCTGGCTGCCTTTATACTTACTCGAGGAGCTGTTTAAAAATATATATGTTCTGAGTCCTATCCCAAATTTACAAATTAGAACCCTAGGGAAAAAAATGCTTTTCTGAAACACTTGCTGGGAGATCCTGATATATCACCAGGTTTGAAACCACTGACTTTCATATCATAAAATATTGTATCTGAAAGGAATCTGACTCCTATTTGAAACAATACTTTGGAAGCTATCAGAGTTAAATTAGAATGCATCAAAATCTAGACCCTTCTAGTAGTTGCCAGAGCTTAAATGAGCAAATAACTGTTACAACAGACTTTCTAGGGCCTTTAATTTAAAAAAAAAAAAAAAAAAAGAAAGAAAGAAAGAAAAATTAAGGCATGGAACTCTAAGAAAATGCAGGTCATCTTCCTGAACTCCCTAAATTAAGAATAATAAAGTCACTAAAACTGTTTATTTGCAATAACCATTTCTCAAAAGGTCAGTGGTCCTGAGAAATGGATTCTCTGTCATTCAGAAGTCAGAGCTGTGGGACTGTGTAATAGCCATTACGAAGTCTGCACATCCCACATCATGAGATGTACCTAATCTCTCTCTTAACACTGCATCTCTTTTACATCTAACTGCACAGTATTTCAGAGGCTATCAATTGAGGGAAAGAAGCAATTGTTGCCCCTTGGTAATATCATCTAGAAGACACTAGTAGGAAGGGGAGAAAGAAAGTAGATAAAACCAGAAAATTAAATCCAAGAAAGTAAAAGCTCAATTGTTTAAGGGAATTGTATATAGGGACAAACAACCTTGTAACAGAACAGTCTTGAGAATAACAATATACCTAACACAATAAATAATATCTATTGTAATGGCTGAAAATCATTACTAGAATGTTAATTTTATTAAAAGTGGTTCAAAGAAAAAGTTTTAATATGTAAAAATAATAAGTTTCAGTTATTTATGCAAATAGATCTATTATCTGTTGATGTGAAATGAGATGTTACACTTTGTAAGCACTAAAGCTTCAATGTTGTCTGGGCATGGGCACTGGTAACAATTAAACACCAAGAGGCCCACGCCTGGTAGAGCCAGGTAGATTTTCTTTTTAAATATATACTGAATAGAGAACACATAATGCCTGTTTGAGTTTTCTCTCTCTCTCTGTACACATTGTTACAGATATCCATGTTATAACATGTATGTGCATACATATACGTAACTTCTATACACACACAAATATAATATTTGTAATATAATTAAAATTTTATTTTTCTTCCTAAGTTTTAGTTAAAAGGTTCTGCTCTGTTACAAATTACATTAAGTTTTGTCTCAGAAAGTGAGATTTGAGATATGGCCACCTAAGCTAAGAGTTATTACAGCAATCTGGTAGAAAGTATTCTGTGGTGGGGGCGGGGAGGGGAGTTCAGGGGGAGGAAAAAGAAGAAAGCAAAAGAAAGGAAAAAAATTAAGTAACAATAACACAGTCATGGTAGACTTAAGTTTTCAGTATGGAGTCTCTCTGGATTATAGAAAGCAGACCAAAGGGGTTGTAATTCACCCTCTATACAAATAAGGTAATAGAAACAATGATCTCACCTAGTTTTATTTATATAAAGTAAAACCTAAACTGTAACTCAGCTCTCAGGTCTGGATAGAAATTCTGACTGACATTCATTATGGAAAGGTTTTCAATATTTTTGTAAGAATTGTAAAAGTGGGAAAAAAAGAATAGCAAAAATGATTTTCATAAAAAATCACATCTCTGGCAAAGCACGTAAGGTATGTTAATGGTAGAAAAGGGTCAAGAATTTTTTTAAAAGGGTAATTCCTAAGCGCATAAATCTTAAAAAGTAATAAAGAATGTCATATGATTAGCAATAAGCAGCAAAATGAGAGAAATCACGTAGTAAATGAAATGGGTCAAGTACTAGCAACTGAATGTTTCTAAGGGATGGTTTCCCAATAGAACTAACTGGTTCATTTAAGTTAAATAAAAAAGGGGGGAAAAGTATTTCTATATGGCACCTTTTTCTATTTATACCCAAATATATGAATGAATAATACCCAGTGCCTGGGCTCGTAGTAGATACAACAGTATTAATAAATACCAAAAATAAAACTTTATTGATACTATTTATTAAATGAATAAATGGCCCACAAGCCAAGTATTAATAAACTTTTAGGTCAGAGGTAAAAATGCGTTTGGGTTTTAAAGGGCTCCCTACTGGTTAGATGTAGCCTTTATAAACTAAGATAGGGACACCACTTTATGAATGTGAAAGATTTGATAAGCAGCAATATAATGTTAACATGGAAGTTAATAACATATCCTAAGCAGAAGAGCTTAGCAAGGCTATTGCACCTTACCAATGTCCCTAAAGTCATCAGCAGTGACTCACGGCAGTCAAATGTTTCCTTTCAAAAGATGGAACTAAAGGTAGTTCTAGAGCCACAGAACATCAAATCAGTTACGGCAGAAAAGGGCCAGAGTAGACTTACAAATATCATGGTTCTTGCCACAAAAATCTCTTGATTACACCAATGGCTTCCTTCTGTTTATTATCATTATTTCTTATTTTGTCACATGAGACAGAATAATTTCCATAACAATCTTAAGATATGACAGTAGCCAACTGGGAGGGTAGGTGGAGGTGGTCTACATTAGATACCCAGGAACCTTACTTACTCAAACACTAATAAATATCTGTAGGAATGCAGTTCTAAATGTCTGTTTATTAATAATATTGTTATGTAAGAACACAGTTATATGCTTATCAAATATATACAACTGCTTCTGCATTAATGCCACAAATGTCTTGAAATTTAATAAGACCAGAAACTTTGCGTTCAGACTATCTCTCTTTTTCAATTCTTCCCACTCTCTTACCTTGAGAGGTGGTACTTTTCGCACCTGGATCCTGTCCCCTCTACTGAGAAAGGGCTGTGGAGAGACTTGAAATGGCTGCTGGTGCTGGCGATTCTCAGTGACACGTGGCCTTTTCTCCCAGCTCACAGGGGTCTCTTCTTGGATGATACAAGATTTCCTCTTGAGGCTTTCTGGGCTGTGATCAATCAGAGCTGATGGAGGTTCTTTTGCAGTGGTCTCCTGTGGACTTGCTTCTGCTATGGGCTTCATTACTGGTTTTTCCACCCCAGGACTCTTGGGTTTGTTTGGGGATATAACTAAAGCCTCTTGGTCTTCATCTTTGTTATAATTAGGAGTTGTAGTAGTGAGATGATTCTCTTTCTCAGACTCCTGTTGAGCAGAGGCAACTGGCTTCTGCTCCAAGAGATCATCATCCTTTGGGCACTTGATGGGAAGAATGCTGCTAAGCTCATGTGTATTGCTTGCTGAGGAAAGTAGGGGCTCTGTGGATTTGGGGTTTGGCTGCACTGTATCTTGGATTTCATGTTCTTCTTTTCTTACAGGGGATGGTATTTGCACCACTTCTTCTTTAGACCCTGACTGGGGAATTACTGGGACTACACTGACAGGTGAGGCCTCTGAAGGAAGCATGGGTTTTGGTTGCTCAGCTGGGGTTTTCTTTACTTTGAGATCACTGGGCAAGGCTGTCAATTTCTTTGAATCCTCAAGGCTCAGGCCAGAACTAAAAGGTAGAAGAAAAAAACATTCTGGTTGAGAAATGGCCCGTGTTATTGAAAGCATTAGGATATAATAGTATATAGCAATGCCTAGAAGAAACCCTGACATATAGTAAGTATTCCTCATATATCATCACTATTATTATTATTAGTGAAGTTCTGCAGCTTGAGTGCCTAGATGCAAACCCTGGCTCCGACATATCCATGTGACATTAAGTAAGTCACTAGTCTTTAATTATATACTGAGGTATATTACTTTATACTGTTGGTGTGATTAAGTTAATGCATATAAAGTATTCAGAACAGTACCCTAGTACATATTAAAGCTCAATAATGTTAATTATCACTATTATTTATGCTTATAAGAGGGGCTGTCTTGTCTAGAGGCAAGCATCACAGACTACCCACCGGGTAGGTGAAAGAAGGCCAAGACTCACTCACCCTGATCAACTCTGCTCTGTAGCACCTGTAGAAAGGCTGGCCCAAGAAATCTACGGGCCTCTGAGGAGACAGTAGGAGGTGGCTATCAACATTCTCCAGAGGTTGAAAATTAAAACTCTGGAGTTTCTGGAAAGCCTAAAGTTTAAACTTCACTTAGTATAGCTCTGTAACTCTGAGACCAACGCCTCTGAATTAGCCTGGGAGTGAAGGTCAACTGGGACTTCCACAGTGTGGCTTATGTAGAGCTAGGCTACTCAGCAGAGGTCACTAGAGATTCCTTCTAATGTTTTAGAGTACTAAACAGGCAAAAGCAAAGACCCTCTTTGGTGACTTCAAATGATCCATACTGCACCTCTGAGATGGAGTGGCTAACAACAAAACTAGACAAAAAAAAAAAAAAAAAAAAAGTCCTCCTGTAAAAACTGCCCAAAAAGTAACAGCTGACAAAAGAAAAACCCAGAAATTAACCTATATGCTTATGGAGGGAATAAACAATATTTATGGAGTAACTGTTACCTGTAATAATAGTCTAAATGTATACACCATCATTTCTATAGAAGGGCTCAAAGCTCATACCAAGACTGTAAAAATATCAATATGTAAGACTCTTTTTTTTTTTTAAGATTTTATTTTTAAGGAATCTCTACCCCCAACGTGGGGCTCACATACACAATTCCAAGATCAAGAGTTACACACTCTACCGATCAAGCCATCCAGGTCCGCGAATATGTAAGACTCAATCTCAATAGGAATCACTTCCTACATGACCATAAAGGAGATCAATGAACTACTTCAAGATAAGAAAAAGAGCTATTAGTTGTTAAACTGTGGTTACAGAGTGTCCTTAAGGATTGCCATTCGGTATGCAGAAGGCAAGAAGAGAGAGAAACAATAAACCTCTGGATGTTCAATTCTACTTCAATACAGCTCTACGGTCATCTATTTAAATAACTCCACTAATATTTTATTTGGATTTTTTGTTAGAAGAAAAATGATTTAAAGTACATCCCCTTAAGAATAGGGGTTGTATATTTATTCAACTATGAAGACCTGTCAGAGTGCCTTCTAAAAAGAGGCTGTTTAATGATGCCCTGGGTGTAATGGTCCATATTATGGGATTCCTACTATTCCTTGTTGATTCTGGATAAATTACTATCTTGTGGGATAATTAACGTCTAGAAAAAATGTACAGAACCTCAGTATTCTTACAAAATTACTGGAAGAACGATTCAGTATATTCAAAGAAAGGGACTCCAATATAAGATAATAAAAAAATTTTTAATGAAACCATCCCACCCACAATGGTAATGTATTAAGAGTCAAGTAATTCAATTCTGTGCACCCATGATTCATTAAAAAAAAAAAAATTCTTGGTTAAATAGAATTGGTGAAAACATAGAAGGAAATTGAGGGCTAGAATTTCTGGAAAGTAGTTAGGATGAAACACTGGTATGACATATATGTAGGAATTCACATTTGGTTTATAGAAACTGTCTTGGTATTACCTCTGACCATAGTAGCTTTCAAAGAATTGTTCTTTCCATGGCTCTACTTTTTTCTCCTTTTCAATCTCTTGTCGAATTCTGACCTGCATCTCAGGTGTAAACTCACCTGCAATGTATCAAAAAGAAAAAAAAAAAAGATATTCAATAGAAATAGGCTGTTTCTAACTTTTAACTATTTGTAAATCATAAAAGACTCATGCAGGAGTCAGAATACTATCATGTGAGAGGAACAGAAATTTCCCACAATTCCTCACTGGTAAGGAGCACTTGAAAGCCACCAGGTGACATCCAATGCTTACACACCACTACATGAAGTTTTCAGTACTCAATGGAGGCCACCTGTGCCTTTTCTCTGGACTCTTCTGGAACATGTCCCTCCTGCTCCAAACACCATATTCCCTAAGATTTCTTTTATCACTAACCTTGAACTTGTAATTTCTTTTCCACTGGAAAAAAAGTCATGTGTTTTCAGTAAATAATGCCACTGGGCATTTTGTTAAACTTCTGTTTCTCTCAGGCAACTTGTATTTTGTGCCTTTTATCTTTTACTGCATAATGAACAGCTGTGACCCTGTTCAGAGGCAACTGAAGTTTCAGTAAAAGGGAGTTATTTGGGAGTTGTTAGTTTTCTAATTGCTCCAGAAATTGAACCATTCTAGTGCCTTGGCAATAAGACACTCAACATGCCAATCACCCCATTGCTCTGAATATGACACTTATTTGCATATGCTCCTAACTATCTCAATCCCTCCCACTCCAACAGCAGAGGACTGCAATATGCTGGGTAGGCCATCTTCAAACTGTGCCTCAGAAAGGCTGTGCTCTTTTATCTGTACTACCTAGGACATCAAGGAATAAGAGAAAGAAATGGTAGACTTGAAGTTTAGGTGTTTTCAGGGTAAAAATATGGAATGCAAAGTGTTTGAGGACACAGTCCTGGGCATAGGAGTAGGAAGAGAGGAATCTGCCTGTCAGAATCCAACCAAGAACTACTTTTTTTTTTTTTTTAAGATTTTATTTATTTATTCATGAGAGACACAGAGGGGGGGGGCGGGGGCAGAGACACAGGCAGAGGGAGAAGCAGGCCCCATGCAGGGAACCTGACGCAGGACTCAATCCTGGGTCTCGAGGTTAGTGAGTCTACTGTGCATGAAAGAATGAGGAATAAAAAGTATTGAATTCTGTTCACATGTGTATAGTGTTCAAAGTTTCTGCTGCTCATAAAATATGAGATCACATGACTAGGTATAGCAGTGACTGCTCATATACAAAAACAGAAAAGGTAACATTGATAATAATCAAGGAATCACTATTGATAAATCTACTTTAAAGAACAGGGGTTGCGGGGCAGCCCTGGTGGCGCAGCGGTTTGGCGCCGCCTGCAGCCCGAGGCATGATCCTGGAGACCCTGGATCGAGCCCCGCGTCAGGGTCCCTGCATGGAGCCTGCTTCTCCCTCTGCCTCTGTCTCTGCCTCTCATTCTCTCTCTGTGTCTCTATAAATAAATAAATAAATAAATAAATAAATAAATAAATAAATAAATAAATAAATAAATAAATAAATAAATAAATAAATAAATAAAATCTTTAAAAAAAAAAAGAACAGGGATTGCGGAATGAGTGCCTGGGTGGCTGGGCTGGTTAGGTCCCGATTTCGGCTCAGGTCGTGATCTCATGATCGAGAGATCAACCCTGCTTTTGGCTCTGCACTGGGCATGGAGCCTGCTTACGATTCTCTCTCTCTCTCGCCCCTTTCCTCCCATCACAGCTTGCTTTCTTCTCAAAAAGAAAAAACAAAAAAATAGAGGGTTGGGCAGGGCATATATCCTTTATCAAATTATTCTTAAAATAAATGTGATGGTAATACTTATGTTTTAAAGTGCATACGTAACTGCAGTTCTTTCAGAAAAAAAGTGATCTCTGCTCAAGGAAATCTTTAAGAGATAGGACCAGAGTAACCAGTCAGAGAGCTCTTCTATACAGAATTTGTAGCCCCCCCCACCAAACAAAAACAAAAATAAAAACAAAAAAAAATCCAAAACAATAGGAAAGTAAATGTCAAAAATTGCAGCGAACAATATAAATATTAATTAACTGGTCAATTAACTCTAAATGCTAGAGATCTGACAAAAATGTCAGCAATACATAGTATTCCCAGTGCTCTCCTTACAAATAAGTGTATTTAAAGCTTCTCACACCTGTTTAAGCTATGACCTTTCAAATGTTATGTATTCCATGTATACTGGAAAACAAACATAATCGAACAATATAAGTCTAATTCTATATTCTGCTTATGAAAATTTTAATTCCTGGGCATTAACCTAGAATCACTGAATCAAAATCTTTAGGAACAAGGCCTAAAAATATGTAGTTTTTTAGTTTCCTCAAATTCAAAGGTGACTTTGAATTCTTAAACAAACATTGCTAGACTCCATCTGGAGCAAAACCTGGTTACAAAGGTTCCAGACAAAAGTCAGTGTACTGTTTCACACAAGATAGCTGGTTCTACCTTACCGAAATACCCTGTCCTTAAGCTTACCAAAATTGCTCAAACGCCCTGAGGCACAAAGGTGCCAATAGGCTCTCATAGTGGCTCCAAATACATATATAATTCTAGGAGGCACATGAAGTTGAGCACTTACCTTCTGAGAGTCTTTCCTTCCAGCCTTGGGCTGCTGAAGTGAAGAACTCATTGTTAAGGGCTGAGCCATTTAACTTCATTAGACCATCTGGACCAACCTGGGTCAAAGAATAAGCCAAGAGAAGCTTACAAAGAAAGCCAAATGTGTCATGTGGAATTTGACTTTCTTTCATTTCAGAGAAGAAGGTATATACATCTAATGTTATAGAAACATGACTATATCATACCATGCGGCTTATTATGGACACTTCTATATCATTTTTCCTAATAAATTTCTCTCCTGTCTACTTTGAATTCCATTCCCCATTAATTATACTCAAAGAATCATCTACAAATAGATCTACATGTAGGTTTTTTTCCTGACACGGTTATTACTTGTTTTATAAAACTGTGATCAAGCTCCCTACATGGCTCTGAATCTTATTTTTCTCACATAATACATTGTGGAAATCTCTCCAAGTCAACTGGCATAATGTTAGCTCCTTTATAATAGCTGTATATTATTTCATTGTATGCATGCACCTCAATTCATTTACCAGTTTTTTAATCATAAACATACACCTTGTTTCCAAAGTTTTCCCATAATCAACCAAGCTGCAATAAGCATTCTGTCAGAGTTTCTTATTTTATATTTATATATAATTTATATATATTAATTAGCTTATAATAAATTTATAAATATATATTTATTTATAATTTATATTTCTTATAAATTCTTATCATTTGCTCATTTTTCTATGAAGTTACTTATTTTTATCAATTTGTTTGGATCCTTTACATATTATTCATAGTTAAACTGTCATATACACTAAAAATATTTCCCCCAATTTATCTGCCTACTGCCTTGATTTGTAATGTCTTGCCAAAGGGTTTTAAGATTCTTTCTATTAGAGATTTTGGATTCCCTACCTTGGTTCAGATGCATAAATCTTATTTAAGGACATAAAACACAAGATTTAAAAATAATTTGGACAGAGAAACTTAATAAAATTGCCATTTTCCCCATATTTAAAATTTACATTCTAATCAGAATCTCTATGCAATTTTTCATTAACAAAATGATTTTATATCTTTTTAACAAAATGATTATAAAGCTCCAAAGGAAAAGAATAAGAAAAATTGCCTTTTCAATTATTAAACATACCCACTAAACATAGCCACTACAGTCAAAACTATTATTACTAGCATTAGAAGGAACGAAGAAATGAGTGGAAGGAGTGTGTGCATAAACACACACTGCATGTAATCGGATAGAATACATAATCAAGATGGTGTTTCAAACTGTGAGAAGATGGTTATATTAAATGTGTAATGATGGAACAACTGGCTAGCTATTATTCAGTAGAAAATAAAGTTGAACTTCGATTTCAGAGCAATACAAAAAAAATTTCTAGATGAATTAAAAGTCAAAAACAATTTTTTGAAGAAAATTTAAGTTAAATTTTGGGTCATCCCAGGGATTGAGGAACTCTTCTCAACCCATTTCACTTCCTACACCTATCTGGACCCACATAATCTTCTCCTAGCTCTAGAGCAGAAATTGGTGAACTTTTTTTTGTCAGAGGAGAGACTGCAAGTATTTCAGGCTTAGCAAGGCCACAGGGCCTCTGTTGCAACTATATAATAACTGCCATTGCTGCACGAACATAGCTATAGACAATACACAAACTAATGAGAGTGGCTATATGTCAATAGAACTTTATTTACAAAAACAGGCAGTGGGCTGAAACTGGCACAAGGCCTGTAATATACTGACTGCTGATTTGTACTCAAGAAAGTTGGCAGAGGGGGAAGTAACAGTTTTCCCTATAGGAACAGGTCATCCAACCTCTGCTTTAATAGTCCAGTGATGAGCAACTTACTCCATCACAAGGCAATCCATTTAAATAGCTATGGCTGTTTTGTTTTGTTTTAAGTTATTTTAACTCCATATCTGTTTTCTGGAGAAACACAAAAGTTTACCTCTTTCATATGACAGACCTTCAAATATATCTGGACAGATGCTTTTTTTTTTTTTTAAAGATTTTACTTACTTATTCATGAGAGACACACATGAAGAGAGAGAGACAGAGAAAGACAGAGAGAGGCAGAGGGAGAAGCAGGCTCCATGCAGGGAGCCCGACATGGGACTGGATCCCAGGTCTCCAGGATCATGCTCTGGGCCGAAGGCAGGTGCTAAACCGCTGAGCCACCCAGGGATCCCTAGACAGGTGCTTTAATCCATTCCCCTCCCATGTTTTTTTCTCTGGTCTAAATGATGTTTTTAAAATTTTATTTCATAGCGGGGCATTCCGTACACTGAAATGTGGTTTTCAGTTTCATCCTATTAATAAACAGAATTCTATAAACACTCCAAATTGACATGACAGTGAAGTTCATTTGAGTTTCATACTTCTATACATGAGGACATTATTTCTCAGATTACTGTGTGTTCTCACCAAACTCAGAAAGACAGGCTAAGGGGATCCCTGGATGGCTCAGCGGTTTAGCGCCTGCCTTTGGCCCGGGGCGCGATACTAGGGTCCCGGGATCGAGTCCCGCGTTGGGCTCCCCGCATGGAGCCTGCTTCTCCCTCTGCCTGTGTCTCTGCCTCTCTCTCTATGTCTATCATGAATGAATAAATAAATAAAATCTTAAAAAAAAAAAAAAAGAAAGAAAGAAAGACGGGCTAAGTAATGTCCTACTAAGAATTCCCCACAGGACTGCACTCCATGGGAATTTGAACAGATAACTTCTAAGGTCCCTTTTAATTCTAAAATTGTATGTAGCAATCCTGCTTCTGAGAGAAGATAAGGACCATTAATCAAAAGACAGTTCTAAGGAACCTGCATTAGAGTTCTAGAGATAAGCCTTAGTTAGGTCCTATCTTATTCCCAACATCATAACCTGAGTCTTAAAAAAAAAAAAAAAAAAAAGAGTAATTCGTAATGAGAAATTCTTTAAAAACTCTGCAGAAAGGTCAGCCTCCTAACTTGGCATCCCCGAAGCTGTAATTTCCTCAAGAATTTTTAAGGAGGGAAAAGCAGTCCTGGGAAGGATCAGCTTTACTTACTTCTTTGCCCTACTGCTGGTAGTATATATGACTTACTTGGTCTCTCTGGAAATGGAATCTGACCTGCTTTCCTACTTGCTGATTCACATGACTATGCAATGAAACTGGTATCAATACAGTTTAATAGAAAGATAGTTTTCAAACTTAGAAATATTTTGTTTTGTCATAATTTCTGAGGATGATGTGTGTAAACTTAACTTATTCTTCTTTAATCTCTTATTACAAACCAGGATATAAATCTAGTCTTCTTACTGTAAACAGGGAAAACTCACTCTCTTCTTGTTTTTATAATAATTAGGAAAAAAGAGGAGGGCCTACCAGATTACTTAGAACACACTATGTATTTGGAAATAATAGAGTTTTTTATATTCTCAGAATAAAAAAACCCTCGAGTTGAATAAACCTTAGAAAAATCATAATTGTCCTATCTTCCTTTTGTAGAGAAGGAAACAGGTGATCAGAAGGGGGAGTGACTTACAGGTCACTCTTTCTTTGATAAAAGCCTAAGTCTCAGATCTTGACCTTATCCTTTTTTTTTTGTTAGATTTGTTTGTTTGTTTGTTTGTTTATTCAAGAGAGACACACACAGAGAGGCAGAGACAGAGCCAGGGGGAAAAGCAGGCTCCATGCAGGGAGCCTAATGCAGAACTCGATCCCAGGACTCTGGGATCACACCCCGAGCTGAAAGCAGATGCTGAGCCACCCAGGTGTCCCTCTTGACCTTATTCTTGACCAACCTAAATCTCTCTGGTCCTGATCTGAACTTTTCCCAAGCCTTTGGTATTTCTTCTAGCTATCTTTTTTTTTTTAAGAGTGTAAACTATATTGGGTTTTTAAAATTCTTTATTATGAAAGCAAGAAATGTTTTTGTTAAAAATCTACCAAAACATGAAAATAACTACATTCTTATTCCCTTCAAAAAAAAACAAAACAAAACAAAACACTCAAAAGTCCCTGTTAAATGTCCTAAGCAAGACAACTCTTCTTTCTGGACTGTATTCAATCAATGCCTTACCTCCTACTATGATAGTTACAAAAATCTGACCCCCTAACCTTGACATTCTGATAAGTTTTTTCCTTTTGAAGGCTTACAGGGCAAAAGAATTAGGAACCCTTACATAAAAATATTCTTACTTGTTTGATTACCTTTGATACCACTTTTTTCCAAGTCTACATAAAAAAAGCTATTCAAAAAGTCTCAAGGAGTTCTAAAGGAGATGAAGGTTTAGCCTTCATCTAAAGCCTCAGAAGGTTTTTTTTAAACTGCTTATGCTTAAAAATAACGCACCTGTCGATCCACCTCTGGCAGTAGTAAAAGCAGTCGCTGCTGGCAATCTCCGGGAAGGACTGAAAAGGTGTGTTTGTTGATCAGTGCTCGGAGATTTGTATTAACCAGAATGGAGTCTGGTGTCTCAACATCAATTTCAGCACATTTAGTCCTTTTCATCTGCCCTACAAAGACAGGGGAAAAGAATCATTTGGGTCTCCTTTACATTTTTGTTTCTATCTAACGTATAGCTTACCCTGTGCTGCAAAAAAAATCATAGTTATGACTACTTAAATATCACACAGTGAAGAAGGGAACACTTAAGGTTTTTAGAAATTTCTTCTAAGACTAACAAAATCAAGGATGACACATACAATGATATAAAAAAATCCAGAAAAATTCAGATCTATATATCATACTGAGATCCTTTTTCCCTTCCCATGAAAAATTTTTTATCAATTTTAAATTTTAATTTTGATTACCCCAAAAAAGTTATAACTGAATAGCTTCATGATTTCAAGAAACTTAGTCACAATCAAAAGATTAGGGTCTTTCAAATGACTGACAGATTTGAGTATCCAAAGGTTTCAAATGTAAATGGCAAAAAATATTATAAACAAAAGACTAACTTGACAGAAACATTTGCCAGTCATGACAAAACTTTATTACTATTCTTCATATTAAAAGTGCATCTATATGGGGCACCTGGCTGAGTAGGTCGGTAGAACATGAGACTTTTGATCTCAGGGTTGTGAGTTCAAGCCTCATGTTGAGCATAGAGCAATAGATAGATATTAAAAAAAAATTTTAAGTGCATCAATAAATCAATATGAAAAAGAAATACCACCATTAGAAAAGTGAGCACAGGAAATTACAGGTAATTCATAGTGAACTAATCATAAACATATGCTACAGTATTAATATTTTTTAAATGCCAGTTAAACCAATGAACTCTTTTTTGCCTATCAAAATGGCAAATACTGCAATATAGTAATGAAACTACACAGAGAAAAAGCATAGACCACTCTCAAATACCGCTGATGGGTCCCAAATTTATATAATTGTATTAGAAAACAATTTAATAATATATACCAAAATTTCACGTGTGTTGGGATCTTTTTTTTTTTTTTAAGATTTTGTTTATTCATGAGAGACACCGGCAGTGGGAGAGGCAGGCTCCTTGTGGGGAGGGGAGCCCAATGTAGGACTCAATCCCAGGACTCCGTGATCACGCCCTAAGCTCATCCACTGAGACACCCAGTGTCTCTGTGTGTCAGAATCTAAGATCCAGAAATTTTATCTTTAGAAATACATGCACAAAACTATACAATCCTGAATGTGGATAACTCTGTTCCTAGTTGAAGGTGAAGCAAAAGTAAGCTCTCTTAAGAGGAAAGGATTTCCCTTAAGTTAGGCCCACAGAATTCCTATAAATTAAAATCACACAGACTACCCCTGCCAAACCAGCAGATGTGCACAGAGTCAACAGAAACAAAAAATAAAAGGTTTAGACCTAAAAGTACTACTATCACTGAAACTGTCACAGATAAAATACAGAACGGTGCTGCATAAAATATTAAAGAAATAAAGAATGTGATTGTAAAGATGGGGATACAATAATTAGGAATGAACACAATCAGGTCTCAGTAAATTTCTAATAATATTAGTAGTAATTAAAACAATAATAATCAATAATAGCAGCAACAAATGCTTCTGTAATGCTTCATTAGTGCCAGGCACTAAACACTGACCATGTGCTAACTCATTTATTTCATAACTCTATAAAGTAAGAAAGTATAATTATATATTTCACAGGTGAAAATGAGGCCGAGGCATGGTAAATAATTTGCCCAAAATTGTACTATTAGGTTACAGTGCAGGAATTTGAACCCAGGCATTGTGCCTTTAGAGGCTGTTGTTTATCACTATATAGAGGCAGAGCTATCATAAAGTCCAGCCAAGTGCCCCCAAGTCCCTATATATTTTTAAAATTTTTTAATTTGTATTCAATATAATTAACATATACCAAATTATTAGTTTCAGAGATAGAATTCAGTGCATACAACACCCAGTGCTTATTATATCAAGTGCCCTCCTGAATGTCTATCCCCCAATTACCCCATCTCCCCACCGCCTCCCTTCCAGCAGCCTTCAGTTTGTTTCCTAAAGTTAAGGGTCTCTATGGTTTTCCTCCCTCCCTGTTTCATCTTATTTTATTTTTCCTTTCCTTCCCTTATGTTCATCTGTTTTGTTTCTTAAATTCCACATGAGTGAAATCATATGGTATTTGTCTTTCTCTGTCTTATTTCATTTAGCATAATACCCTCTAGTTCCATCAACATCATTGCAAATGGCAAGATTTCACTCCTTTTGATGGCTGAGTAATATTCCATTGTATACATATACCACTTCTTTATCCATTCATTTGTCAATGAACATCTTGGCTCCTCTACAGTCTGGCTATTGTGGACATTGCTGCTATAAACATTGGGGTGCAAGCGCCCCTTTCAATCACTACATTTATATCCCTAGGGTAAATACCCAGTACTGTAATTACTGCATCATAGGATAGCTCTATTTTCAACTTTTTGAGGAACCTCCATACTGTTTTCCACAGTGGCTGCACAAGCTTTCATTCTCACCGACGGTCTAAGAGGGGTCCCCTTTCTCTGCATCCTAGGCAACATCTGTTGTTTCCTGACTTGTTAATTTTAGCCATTCTGACCGGGGTGAGGTGGTATCTCATTGTGGTTTTGATTTGGATTTCCCTGATGCTGAATGATGTTGAACCTTTTTTCATGTGTCTGTTAGCCATGTGTATGTCACCTTTGTAATGTTCATGTCTTCTGCCTATTTCTTGACTGGATTTTTTGTTTTTTCAGATGTTGAGTTTGAGAAGTTTTTTCCCTTTATCTGATAAGACACTTGCAAATATCTTCTCCCATTCTGTCGGTTATCTTTTGGTTTTGTTAACCGTTTCCTTTGCTGTGCAAAAGCTTTTTATCTTGATGAAGTTCCAATAGTTCATTTTTGCTTTTGTTTCTCTTGCCTTTGGAGACATGTCTAGCAAGAAGTTGCTGTGGCTGAGGTCAAAAGGTTCTCCTCTAAGATTTTAATGGCTTCTCTCACATTCATGTCTTTCATCCATTTTTTAATTTTTGTGTATAGTGTAAGAGTGGTCCAGTTTCATTCTTCTGCATGTGTCTGTCCAATTTTCTCAAAAATCCCTATATATTTTAAGAAAATTTTTAAAACTTCAAAATAACTCCTGAGACAAAGGAAAAATCACAATAAAATATTTTTAAAATTTTCAAATTGAATGATATTAAACACAGCATTTGAGAGGTGAAAGTAAATATCTCCAAAACTGAAATAGTATCAAAATATATAAAATGAAAAGTACAGGTTTCTACATTCAAACCCCGACTTTTCAGAGATGATATTTTTAATTTGAATAAATGAAATCACAAAATACATATCAATTATATTATGTCTTTTGTTTCACTGAATATCTTGAACTACTTTCCAAACTACAACCTACAAAGCTATCTCTTTTTGATAGGCTTCACCATATTCCAACATATATACCATGACTCATTTAATTAGAAACCCACTGATGATCACATAGGTGGTTACCATTTTTTGGTTTGCATAAACAATGTTGCTATGGCTCTAGGGACTGAGAGCAGCATCCTAGTTCTGCTTCCCCATATGACTGATGAAATGAGTGTCAGCATTCCTTTAATAGCTTTCGCTATTTGTGCATTCATTTTGTACCTTCACATGAGTCAAACTCTAGTTAAAATTCTTAAAACAAATTTTTTAAAGTAAGCTCTATCCCCAATGTGGGGCTTGAACTCGTGACCTGGAGATCAAGAGTTGCATGCTCCACCGACTAAGCCAGCCAGGTGCCCCACTAAAATTTAACTTAACTCCTTAAGTGAGACTGAGAAGTAGTTGTAAATTATATTGATCTATTCTTGATCAAATAGTGTCCATGATATTTTTGTGTTCCTTACACTAACTGGCTCATTTCTAGAATTTAAAGTTTAAAAAAGTCCTCCAGTTTTGGTAAATGGGATGCCTGGGTAGCTCAGCAGTTGAGCATCTGCCTTTGGCTCAGGGTGTGTGATCCTGGAGTCCTGGGATCGAGTTCCACATCGGGCTCCCTGCATGGAGCCTGCTTCTCCCTCTGCCTGTGTCTCTGCCTCTCTCTCTTTCTGTGTCTCTTATGAATAAATAAAATCTTAAAAAAAATAAAGTTGGCCTTTTTTCCCCCTCAGTTTAGGTTGCTGTATTTTATCATATTATACTTGAAATGTGAGCTATGTTTTTTTTCTGATTAAATCTGGGATGTAAAAATATATAATATACTATTAATTTTTACTGAAGTTGTCTAAAACAAATTATATCAATGTAAACTAAAAAAGATTTCATGTAAATTATCGAAATTTAGCTTTATCATTTGTTTTACATAAAACGTACAGCTTCTTCCATACATTTAAAAAATACTCTTTGGGGGACGCCTAGATGGCTCAGTTAAGTGTCCAACTCATGATTTTGGCTTAGATCACAATCTCTTGGGTTGTGGGATTAAGCCTGGAGTTGGGCTTTGTACTCAGTGAGGAGTCTGCTGGAGATTCTCTCCCTCTGCCTCTCCCCCTACTTGTGCATGCTCTCTCCCTCTCTCACAAATTTTTCAAAAAAATGCTCATTGTGGCATGTGCTGTAAAAACTCCCATCTTATTTCCGTTAATGCTTATTTGCATGAGAAGATGAACTTGCATTTACTTCTTGGCCATTAAGTGAAACTTAAATGCATCATGCCTTCTTTCTTATGATTAATTTTTTCTAGTTTGTAGTATGGAAGTTGGAAATTCTCAGTCCATAATTTCTCAATTTTTTACATTGACATCTCTACTGCAATTGAATGAAAACAGTAAAACTGTTTAAATGCATTTAAGTAGAATATAATCTCCATAAGGAAGAAACTTTGTTCAGTTCATCACATCTCTAGAAAACTGTGATTTGGCATATTAGTATACCATTTACAAGTATTTATGTAATTTACGAATATTTTTAATATTTGGCAGTGGAATTAATAATCAAAGGATATGGTCAGTTTATTGCAGAATCGCCCCTAAGAAAAATGCACCATTTTACAGTCCACCCAGAATCAAACCAGACTTTACAAAGAGGCTGTCCGGTTGCTGGAATAAGGACAATAAGGCAAAGAAGCTGGCATCCCCAGCAAGTTGTAAAATAGGTTCTTAACATTTCATTGCATATATTGTGCCTGATAATCTTTGAATTATTTCTCCTCCTGCCTTAACATCTCACTTAATTGTCTTCTTGGGGAGAACAAATTCGATAGGTTCTGCTTTCTGCAGGTGCCAGGAGACACCTGAGCTACAGCTCCTGCAGGACCGGAAATGCCTCTATATCTCTATAACACAGCATAATCTTCCAAGTGCAATATAATTAAAATTTAAATCAACCTCAGAAAGGCAACTGTTGGATTTCAAGAATTCCTTTTTCTTTAAAGGTTTATTATTTTTTTAAAAGGTTTATTATTTTTAAGTAATCTCTACACCCAACATGGGCCTGAACTCACAACCCCGAGATTAAGAGTCACACTCTTCACTGAATGAACCAGCCAGGTCCCCCCAAATTTCAAAAATTCTGACTTGTTTTTTAATTTTATTTATTATTATTTTTAAAAATTTATGTATTTTTTGGGGGGCACATGCACATGTGAGGGGGAAGGGTTAGAGAATCTCAAGTAGACTCCCTGCTGAGTGTGGAGCCTGACATGAGGCTCCATCTCATGACCCTGAAATCATGAGCTGAGCTTAAATCAAGAGTTGGATGCTTAAATGACTGAGCCATTCAGGTAGCTATCTATCTATCTTATCTATCTATCTATCTATCTATCTATCTATCTATCTATCTAAATTTATTCATAAGAGACACAGAGAGGCAGAGACATGGCAGAGGGAGAAGCAGACTCCTCGAGGCGCGCCTGATGTGGGACTCGATCCCAGGACCCCAGGATCACAACCTGAGCTAAAGGCAGATGCTCAACTACTGGGCCACCCAGGTGTCCCCATTTATTTATTTTTAAAAAGATTTTACTCACCCATTTCAGAGAGAGAGAGAGCATGAGTTGTCAAAGAGGCAGATGGAGAGGCAAAGGCAGATTCCCTACTGAGTAGGGAGCTCCACATGGGGCTTAATCCCAGGATTCTGGGATCATGACCTGAGCCGAAGGCAGATGCCTAACTAACTGAGCCACCAAGCCTCCCAACTATCATTTGTTTTTTAATAAATAATTTTGTAAAATCAAAAAAACAAAAAATTAAGTCTGAAAATATTAATTCTGTTCTCATACTTAATAGTTTAGAAGGGTCTGGAATATAAATGATCATAGAATAACTTTTCCTTTGAATTTTGTCAGCATCCCTGTACTACCCCCTTCAGCTTCTATTCTGCTGCTATGTTTACCATCTCAATTTTTACATCTTTGTATGTGAGGTATTTTCTTTCTCCTTGGTTGCTTTTTTGGAATATTTTCATTATCCTGGATGCTTTGAAATTTCAAAGAAACGTGCCCTGGAACAGGTTTCTTTTTATTCATGTTTCTTGACATCAATTATGTAGTTTCATCTTTGGAATCTGGGGCTTTCCATTCTCTGGAATTTTGTAGTATGATTTCTCTTATTATCTTATTCCCCCCCCTTTTAATTTCTGTCCTTTCTAATGGTTCTACTATTTTAGACATTAGATATCCTAGATTGGTATTCCAGTTTTCTTACCTTCTCTCTCCTTTTGAATCTCTCTTTTGACCTATGTTCACAGATATTTCTTCACCTTTCAGTATTTTTTTTTTAAGATTTACTTATTTGTTTGAGTGAGTGAGAGAGAGCAAGAAAGCATGGGGTGTGGGGGATCAGGGGGAGAAGAAGAAACTCAAGCAGACTTTGCGGTGAACGTGGAGCTCGAACGTGGACCTGATCCCACAACCCAAGATCACAACCTGGGCTGAAAAGAAGCGCTAGACACTAAACCAACTACCCACCCAGGCACCCCACCTTTTAATATTTCTATTTTTTTAAATTTCAGCTACCTTATCTGTTAATACTCTCTTTATTTTTCAATTTTTAAAATAGTCTCTTTTATGGATGCAATATCATCTTTTATATCCTTCTGTGGATATTACAGTTTTTAAAGTTATTTGTTTTAAATATTCCTGAATTGCCTGTTTTTTCTGAATCTGTATTTCAGATTCTGGGTCTCATAGTGGAGGTCTTCTTCAAAGGTGATTGTAAATAATTGCAATGAAAACAAAGGCATTAAAAAAGGCTGACTGGCAATTTAGGGTGCATAGGTGGGTCTTATAGACTGGTGAACTTCACAGAAGTATGACCAAGATGATTTCTATTTAGTATGAAATCTATAAATTTGCCTGCAGATTTTCTTCTGAGGCTGTCCACTGTTTTTAGGCACCAACCCACCCATCTCTTGCTGGAACATCAGTGGGCTGGAGGGAAGGAAGTAATGGTGACAGGAACATGCCTTACTACTAACATTCTGGAAGCCAAGCAGAAGGATCACTGTTAGTCTTTATATTTTTCTTGTTTCCCTGATTTCAGTACATTGCCTCATTATCTGCCCTCGGCCACCAGTGTTATCTCTGAGTTTGTAGTCTATATGGTTTTATGTCACCTCAAAATAAACCTACCTCCTGCTATGGTAAAGCATCAGACTGCTTCTTATTAACTTTCAAAAAAGGCTCTTCTTTTCAATCCTAGGCATCACCCTTCCCCACTGTGATACATGCTGTCTCCTATTCCTGAATCTTTCTGGTGTCTGCAGCCTTAGCTGGCTTATTATTGGTATCTGTTGCTCGGCTCGGTGAAAAATTCCATCTAGTCTTCATCTTTGAAAATTTCTTGACTGCTTGCCCATCTGTTGTCTCCTTGTTTTCTTCACCCTTATGGATCTAATCTTTTGGATTTCCATATTCCCATCTTAGTGGGATTTCAGAAGGAGCAGGCAAAAAGGGTCAATTTACTATGTTTAATTATGAGTCCTTCTACTTCTCTGTGCACAGAACTAAGACATAAATAAATAATGCTAGACAAAGCAGCCTATTGTCAGAAAAAGAACTAAACCACACAACAGCTGCTGAAATTCAAACACACAGTTGACAAATTAAGATGCGGAACTGAAGTTTTTGTAAATTAACTTACGTGTGTGGAGCCTGTCAGATCTCTGGAATGCCTTCTTCCCCAAGCCTAACAAGGGGTTTTCCACTTGAACTGAACATGAATAGCTAGAGTTTGAGTTCTGAGGGCTACCTGACTGCCCATCAGATGGTTTTCCTTCCCATATTGCTAAGAGAAAAAATATATCAAAGACTGGTGACATTAGGGTTATAGACAGAAATCAATCAATCCAACACAAACTGAAAGGAGTTACATATGAGGAAATGTGACCCTGCAAATGTGTTTTGAGTCTGCAAATTCAGAATTAAAAAGTAAAATAAAATCCCTTCCTTCCCCCCAGCACATTATTTGCTTCTGGTGATGAATCTCCTTCCTAAAAAAATGCAAAGGTCTGCAGAACACCACTTAAATTTGGTAGGCCCATGTAATCAGCTAGCATCAAAATGAACTGTGTAATAAAATACAAACTCTGTATCTAATCTGGTTTCAATGAAAAATAAAACAAATAACAATAACAACAACCAGAATCCAAAGGACTGTGTTTATATCCAATGGAAATTCAAAGGTAGCCAATATTCTTAGGAAAATTTTCTATCTTTAAAGGAGAAACTGGTGAAGGTTAGTCTGAGTGTCTTGGCAACATCAGCTCTGTAAGGTCACTGATTAGAGGCTTCCAAATATTACTAGATTAGAAATCCTGGAAGTCAGGCATTGATTTCATTCTAACATGCAAATATCGCCAATTTATTTTTTCATAACTGCATGATGATTCTGCATAAATTTTCCCATTTATCCTGAATGGATTTATATCAATGATCTTGCAGTAACAGGCTATGTAAATAATCCGAGCAACTTAAAAATAAGTATATGGTATACAAACTGGAAAAATGGTATAAAAAATACTAGAAAAAGAAACTTCCAATGGAAATACACCCAAGTCTGCCTACCAGGTTTGGCAGGTACAGAGTCACTGGCTGCTTTGACAGTCTTGAGAGAAAGAGGCTGGTTGGAGGAGATGGACATGCTTGGCCTGCATTGTTGTTGCTGCTGCTTCTTCTGCTGTTGCTGTTTTAGAGCCTATAAAAAGAAAACTCTATAAGCAACAAAATAATTTTTTAGTAATAACAGTGAACGACTGTTTTTTAAGTGGTGAGAAACATGCTGATCACCCAATTTCTTTGAAAGCTATCAAAGTAAACAAAACCCTAAATGAAACCAATTAAATGCAAGGCCAAAATGATACTTAAGAGTTTGAGTATTTTTTGGCAGTGTTACTCCTGTATATAAATGTGAGAATTAGCCACGAACATTTTTAGAACTTAAAAATCACCAGTAATACACAGACTTCTCGTAATTGTAGCAGCAGAAAATTAGAGGTTTTCAATCATTTCTGGAAATGAAATTCTAAGCCTTCAACCAAAAAAGAGACTCATTTGCATTAGCCCTATGTATAAATATAAATATTTAGCTTACATATATTTCAGAGGTGATACATATGAACAATAGATGTTAAATAATTACTTGATTCTGATCTCCTGTAAGAGCCAAAGACCAAATCCTCATAATTTATAGCAAAGCAGTAAATAGAAGGGAAGGAAGGTTGGAAAACATAGTATGATTTCTTCTGGCTATTTCAGCATATTTTTATTTCTATAATGTTTCTAGTTTGTAGAATAAACTATTTGGAATGAATTAGAAGACAGTTAACTAATTAAAAAAAAATAGAAGACAGTTAACTTCCTAGAGTTTAGTCATGAAAGTATATGAAGGCAACTTTTTAACTCAAGGTTTAAAAAAAAAAGACACAGAAATTAAGAAAGTAAAGCTACATTTCAGGAAAACTTTGGAAATCTATGACCTTGCTAAATTGCCAGTTTAAGTTTTAACCTTTAGACCATCATGCAAAAAAGTGTGGGTTAACTGGCTACTTGGTTCCCATTACGTCTTCACACTCATCTCAGGCTATGTTACATAGGCAGTGGTGCAACGACTGATCTTGACCTAAGCTGCCAAAGGGAAAAACTGAGTGAGTCAGGGATCTGGCTGGCTTACATTCACCTTCAACATTTATAAAAGCCAAGGCAGGAGTACAATGTATAAAAAATGTCAGTGTTGTTTAATCACTGATTATAGCTTCTCTCTCATTCTCTGCAATCAGAACAGAAAATATTCATAGGCTTCCTGGGTGGCAGCCAGTGGGTCTTTCCTAGTCTCTTACAATATCCACATCATTCCAGGTTAATGCAAAATTTAATAGAACCATTTGATCTCATCTATTCCTGCTGTGAACATGTAAATTCAGATACATGATGGAAACAGAGTAACTTATAGTCTAAGAACTGTACTCAGTTTTCTCCTCCCTAAGTAGTTTACAAACTCTGTTCCTATTCTATTTTAAAATGAAAAGAACAACAATAACAAAACCCTCATATTGTGATAAAGGATACCTTATTTTGAAGTAATTTTTCTCACCTAATACTATAAAAAATATACAATGGAGGCAAGGTATTACTTTACATACCAACAACCTAATAAACGTATTTTTCCATACTGGTATTCTTTAAAGAAAATACATTTGACTCTTGGGATTACAGGAGTATAATACAGGAGTAGTAAACATGTCATGCATTTTCTAACAAGGTTTAGGAAAATACATGCCTTTTTCCTGTGGAAAGAAGCATCACATACTTCATAAAATCTTCTAAAGAATTTATAAAAACAACTGCTATGAGATTATCCAGACAGACAGCAATCAATGCTATCAAATTCCTGAAGCTTTTAATAAAATCACTTTTGTTTTAAATACTTCCTTTAATACTTTAAGATCTACATAATTTTTAAAATTTCAATTATATAGATAATACACGATTATATCTTTATCATTTAATTCAAACATAAAGCTAAACCCTCTTGACCACTGTCTTGCCCCCTCATCTTCAGAGATAACTACAGTCAATTTAATTTTCCTTACTGAGCTTTTCTTACACTGATGTATGTCTCTATTAAAAATGCATTGTTTATCAGTGGTATCACGCTCTAAATGTTGTAATACAACTTAAGTTTAGTGAATCAACATTATAGTGTGGTGATGCTTCCATGTCTATATATATAAAACAACCACATTACAAACTTTTAATCTTGTATCATTGTCCAGCATATAGATACACCATCATTTATGAAGGAATTCCCTGATATATATTTGGTTACTTGCAAGTTTTTGCTATTGCAAACATCAATACAAGTATTTTTCTCTGTGTTTGTAATTGGTATGTATATCTGTATTTTTCTAACCTAAGTTCCAAAATGTTCAAATGCTTAGTCATGAGGTATGGGCATTTAAAATTTTAATAAAATTATAATCGATATCACAAAATTTCTTTCCAAAATAGCTATATGATAGTTTATATTCCACCAGCAACTACCAGAAGCCATTTTTCTACACACTTGCCAACATCTGATAAAGTTCTTTAGTTTATATGAATCTGAGGATAAAAGAAATCTGTTAATGTTCAGTTAATTAGTAGTGAGTTTATATTTACTGACCATTTGCATTTCAAAAAAAAAATGTTCTTTGAAAAGCCCAATAACATAGACCAATGGCAAGTAGCCCTAGGGAAAGAGATACATTATAAATGAACAACAATGAGGAACAAAAAAGAAACATAAAAGAATGCTACTACAACTTTATGCAAATATTTTTAACAGTCAAGTGAAATGGACCATTTTCTAAGAGAAATACATATCCAAAATTAAGAAAAAACGTTTTTCCAAAATTAGCTGAAAAAGCAGGAATCAAATGAGACCAGTAACAGATGAAACTGAAATGCTATGAAAACAATTCTATGATTGTTTTCCAAAAATCTGGAAAATTGCAGAGAGGTATCCAACTTTTTTTTTTTAAGATTTTATTTATTTATTCATGAGAGAGACAGAGAGAGAGAGAGAGAGAGAGAGAGAGAGAGAGAGAGAGACCCAGGCAGACGGAGAAGCAGATTCCATGCAGGGAGCCCGACGTGGGATGTGGGACTCGATCTCGGGTCTCCAGGATCACGCCCCGGCTGAAGGCGGCGCTAAACCGCTGAGCCACCCGGGCTGCCCCCAACTTTTTAATGCTAGAATCCTGATTCCAAAATTGTATAAGAATTGTACAAGAAAACAGCAAAATCCAAGAAAACTCTTAAAAACAGAAAAATCTATCATATTTAAAAACATGTAACAAACATGTAGAGTTTATTGCTGACAGTTAAGGATGCGTTACCCTAGAGTACCTAGCCTCGGAAGTCTGTGTGTTCGTAGACTTAAAGAGAAAAGCTACCTGACCCTCTCAATAAATGCTGAAGAAAACAAACCTAAAAAAAAAAGAAAAAAGAAAAAAGAAAACAAACCTGAAAAGTTCAACACCTTTTCACAATTTAAAAACCACAAACAAAAACCTCTTAGCAAATTAGGAACAAATGAAGAGCTTTTAAACCGTGATAAAAAAGACTAGCTACCACAAACCTATAACATAGAAGTCCATAAATTATTAAATCCGAATTGGAAAACTGCAAGAAATTTTTCCTCAAAATTAGGACCTTATGTCCTTTCAAGAAATTTTCAATGCCTTCCAGAATCACGAATTTTTAACATAGATTAGACTTTTGATAAACACAGATGAGCATAATTACCTGCTTTAGTGCCTTCTTGCTGTGCTTCTGTGATGGAGAAATGACTTTACCTGCTGGAATGGTAGGTGACGGGCAGCCTGACTGGGGAGAGGATGGCTGTGACAGTCTAGACGATACTAGTAGGGGGAAAATGATAATAAAAAATGTGGTTATCAGAGTTGGTATCAAGCACCATTCCTTCCCCAATCATATGCTGCTACCTGTATTAAGAACTGTGACCAAACACTTTTGGGAAGGATCTTCTTTTTGGAGTTCTACTGCAAACAGCCTCCCTTTTCAGTTTATTTCCTCAGAAAGCTCTAGTGAAGGATGATAGGATGGGGAAGGGATGTGTGTTAGTATTCATTACTTTTCATTCTGTGATTTTTCAATAGATTGATTGAAGCAGGAAGCAGAATATAAACCATGAGTCATCAAATTAGATAAAACTCAGAAGAGATTCTAGAGCTTGTTGGACAGTATGTATGTTCTTAAGGTAGACCTAATGACAACATAATATTGTGAAAGAGCCCAGGACTGACTGAATGGGTCCCAGTTTTCCTTATCTTTAAAATGAAAGTAATAAGGCCATTCCACTTCAAAAACTCTACTGTAGCTTTAATTCTTATATTCCTTCAGCTCTTAAATCAATAGTTTCAGGCCTGCCAATGTGAGAGGGTGCATTAGGACTTCTCCAATAGAAGCAACGTACACTTGCATAGGGTGTAACCCCTCTCTACTTCATCACAACTTGTTTTATACCTCATCAGAGCTTAGCCAAAGCTAAGATGTAAATGAGGGTTTTCTCTTCAGAAGCCTATATACCCTATTTTTTATATACCTATTATAATAAAACAGCAACTAGATTTTTATGTTCTGTAAAGTTCAGTAGTGAATTACTCATGATAAAAGATAACCAAAATATGCTGATTCAGACCCCTTAATAATAGAAATAATAAAAAACAATAATCACTACTGCTAGGGATAATTCTGGAAGAGTACATGCTTACTAACACCTTCTCTTTTCCATAGTAACTGGACTAAAAAGGCCTGGATAGCAAAATGACATTTCATGGTATGGCGAAAGAGCTTGAAGATACCACATAAAGTATGCTGGTAGGTAGCTACTTGACATAAAAATGCAGAAGCATCATAGTTCATGGGAATACACAAGTTTGGGAAAACAGTTTTTCAACAGATTCTTATAAGTCCTAAGAAAGGAATACACAGTGGATAACATTTAAAGAGGACAACAGCAGACAAGAGTAAGATGATGACTGATCATACTTGGCATACCCGGCTTTCAACTCCAATCCTTATGATAAGGTTTATATATGGGAAAGAACTGACATGTGGTAAGCATGAAATTAAAAAAAAAAAAAAGTTTGTTGTGATTTATCATACAAACATAAAAGTTGGATAATTCCGGAGATAACTGAGCAACAGAAAGAAACCACATCCTCAGTCTACTTACATTGACCAATTTTTTAAAAATGACAGTTTTACAGAGATATGATTTATATAATATACAATTTACCTGAGGTGTAAAAATTTTAATAGCTTTGGTTAAAAGTTGTAAAACCATCACCAGAATCAATTTTCACCACCCGTCAAAAAGTCCTGTACTGGCTGGCTATCACCTCTCTTTCCCCTAACTATGGCCCAGTGCTATGCAATTACTAATCTACTTTCTGCATCTGCCTATTCTAGACCTTTCACATAAATGGAATCATACAACAATATGTGCTCTTTCGTGACTGGCTTTTTTCACTGATCATGTTTTGAAGCTCGATCCATACTGAAGCATGTATCAATACTTCTTATCATCGAATAACAGGCCATTTCATGCATACACTGCATTTTGTTTATTCATTAACTGATGGACATTTGGGTTGTTTCCCCTTTTGGTCATTCTGAACAATGATATGAATGTCTTTCATTAGCATGATTTTGTATTGAGACATATATTTTCAATTCTCCTGGGTTCAGATCTTAAAGTGGAAGTTCTGGGTCTTATATCAACTCTATATTTAACTTTTTGAGGAACCGTCAAAATGTCTTCCAAACTGGCTATACCATTTTTACAATAGTACAGGAATGTGTGAGGGTTCTAATTCTTGTCAACAACTGTTAATGCCTGTCTTTTTTTTGACCAATGTTTTTAAAGGGACATAAAATAAATAGACTATTATCAAAAATTTGACTGTTCATTTTCTGGTTTGCAGAAATCTGAAAATATACATTTCCTAACCCTCAAGCACTGCCTGACAATAAACAGAAAACAAACAAAATAATTCCATTAGACTATATAAGAATTCCATTTTGCAGCCTGAAAAAGAGACAATAAAGCTATCTGTAATTGCCAGGGCAAACTATTTGGACTGTTCCCCCTTAAGGCAAAAGCCGTTTCTATAAAATGAAACATAAACATATCTCAAAGCCAGCTGAAATAAATCATGAAAATTTCAGGACCCACTAGTAGGGACTATCTCCCAGAACTGACTAAATACAGGTCTCAACTTCTATGAAACTTGAACTTTGTCCTAACTTTTAAATATTAAAGGCTTAAACACATGGTGAGAAACTTCTCTCTCATAATTACTTTTAGTGGCTACAATCTCTTCAGACACATTTTTATTAATAAGAGCAAACAAAAGTAACTATCTTGTATGTATGCATCTAACAGCATGCTAGGATCATTTTTACAGCATTTCAAGTGGGTACAAGTCTTCTTTCTATTCCCATCCAAACTCCTCCAATTCTACCCTCAGAAATAACTAGATAATATGTTTGGGTTGGCACCTTACTGACATTTTTTCTATACACACGAGGAAATACAAAAATGTTTTATAAAGGACATATATTTATTTTTTTAAGAATTTACTTAACTGAGACAGAGAAAGAGAGAAAAGTACAAGCAGGGTTCAATCCAAGGACATATACATAAATTTCAAATATATACATTTTTCTGTATATTGTAATATTATCTAAATTTTACGTATCAGGAAATATAATTAGTTTGCCAGAGGACTCAGACAGTAAGGGGCACAGCCAAGATCCAAACTCAGTATATTTTCAGAATGAGTGGATACTTGTTGGCTGAATGGTGGCCACCAAAAAGTTATGTCCTAATCCCCAGAATCTGTGCATGTTACATTATTTGGAAAGAGTCTTGGCAGATGTAATTAAGTTAAGGCTCTTGAGATGAGATCTTCCTGGATTATCTCAGTGTCCTAAATCCAGTGACACAGAGGACAGAAAGAAAAGAAGGTGAGGTGAAGACAGGCAGAGATTGCAGTGATATGGCCACAAGGCAACTCAGCAACCAGAAGCTAAAGAATACAAGAAACAGAGTTCTCCCCTAGAGCCTCTGTAGGAGTGTATCCCTGCTGACACCCTGATTTGACTTCTGGCCTCCAGAACATGAGAAAATAAATTTTTGTTGTTTTAAGGCACCTCGTTTGCCGTAATTTGTTATAGCAGTTTCAAAAAACTAATAGTATGTAAAACTGATTTTAAACTGTCACTATGAACCTATAGATGTTTATGTATTTGAAATGTTTAAATCAAAAACAATCATCACAAATTTGGCACTCAAACTGGGTCCCCCTCTTGGGTTGGTGGGAGAGCTTTCAAGTCGTAAACCATCTCTGGGACATGGCCTCAGCAGTATCTAGCTGCTTCCTCTCTACCTGCCACAGAGTCTCAGGCAACCTTGCATATTTTTTTGCCCAAGTTGGATCAGCCACTTCTCCAAGGACCCTGGAATCTTTTAATCGGAAATGTTATTAAAAACCATGTGCTGCACGGTATGGGGTGCTCACTGTTATGGGGTTATCACTGGTTCTAGGACTTCTCAATAATTAGAACAAGAAAGGTCCCGTTTTTTATAAAGAGAAAAATAAGTTCATGCATAGATGCCAAATTCGAATTTAAGATGACAGGACTGTCACTTAACTTTTCTGATTCTATAATTCTATCACTTCTCTTCTCCCTTGATAATCCTGCTTCCTAATAACATTACTGTAATTATTAATTTGCTTTCTACTATAGATCTAATTTCAAAGAAACTATACCTATATAATTCCTGAAAATGAGACTACTAAATGTAGTTTAAGGATTTCTTGGTGTCTGGTCTCCTATAACTAAGATATAGGAGAAACTTATGTCATTATGCCACAAATTTGACATACACTTGAGTTTGCTTTGTTTTGTTATTTCTAGAAAGTATATTTTAAAAACTTGTTTTAATTATGTAAAGTGATAAAACAACTTACTTCCATATGAGTCTAGCTCCCTCCATTGTTGAGACCCCTTTATTACTTCTCTTCCCGTTTAAGAAATCATTTATATTAATTTGCATCCTTCCATTGTTTTTTTACCTATATTTTTGTTTTGGTGAAACATAGTATACACATTTTAATACTTGTACTCATTTCTTTTTTTTTTTTTAAAGATTTTATTTATTTATTCATGAGAGACACAGAGAGGCAGACACATAGGTAAAGAGAGAAGCAGGCTCCCTCTAGGGAGCCTGATACGGGACTCAATCCCAGGACTCCGGAACAAAGACACAAGCCAAAGGCAGACACTCAACCACTGAGCCATCCAGGCATTCATTTTACTCATTTAAGTAAAAAATCAACCACCATAAGTTGTCCAGAATATTGATTTTTTTAACTTAATATGTCCTGGGGAACATTCTAGAACAGAATACAGAGATCTTCCACATTCCTTTTAATAGATGCACAGAACTCCACTGAGCAGATGTACTATAATCTCTCAACCAGACTGATGAGTATGTTGTTTCTTTCTGGTCTTTTGCTCTTATTAGTACAAGGTTTAACCAGTGGTTCTTAAAATCACATGAGACACTATTATATACTAACCAAAGTCTAAAATTTTAAAGACTGACAATTAGTGAGCATGAGAAATAGCTGGAACTCTCATACATTATTGGTGGGAGTATAAATTGGTACAACCAGTCTGGAAAACTGTCTGGTAGTATACACTACAGTTAATTTTGCTCCCAAGTACATACCCAGAAAAAAATGAGTACAAAAACAAAAAACAAAAAAGCCCAGACATAAAAAAAATTCACAATAAGAAAAAAAAAAAAAAAAAAAAAAAAAACAAC